ATTATTAATTTATATAGAAGAGTAGCATCTTGGCATGTTGGAAACATTTATTATGCATGTTAAGACATACATTCTGCTGAATTCAAATGAAAATCACTCCCCAAATAATGCATACAGAATTACAGTTGCAATATCTAAAGCAGCACTAAAAGTAAATACTGCTGCCATCCCACCTCATTATGGTATTGCCATTACTGGAGGTACAGGAGGAGTGTTGATATTACACAGCAGATAATGTACTGTTAGTTACTTGGGAAGATACACCATTTCTATATATACTATAACACTCTTCTAATCTAGCAAAAAAAGATTGAGGATTAAATTAAGGAATTAATTCAATATAATTATGTATTTATATATAATGTAGCTAAAGAAACATACTTCATTTCAAAATATTTAATTAGTTTCAATTAAAAATTTCAGATTGTAAGGTAATGTTTCCTACAAAATAAAGAAAAAATGCCTAGATGTAATCTACCAAATCTTTTAAATTATAATTTATTTACACACTTCGATTAAATAATAAGTCAGGATTTAGTGTTTTTGTTTTACTTTCAACATAAAGTATCTCTTAACTGGCAATCTTATTATTACTGAAGTTTTTCTTTTTTTAAAAAAATCAATGGAGTTAGTAATCATTTCAAATGAGTTCCACATTCATCCAACCCCCAACAACTTTGGGGATAAGAATGTTGTGGTAAATCATAAACACACCTAATATTGGAATTTTGTAGCGTAGCATTTTGAAGTTAAATTCTAAACAATAAAACTGAAGAGTTCTCAGTAGAACATTTGAATACTGCAAAGCTAGGCACATTTACTTGTAATGCCATTCAATCTTTTCCTTTGGAGCTTATTTCTGGGTAAAGAAAAGGATTGGCTTGAAGACTGAAAGAAAATTGTGTAAAATTCCAAAATCTACATTTAGATTAAACAAGAGTTTTTCCTTAAACTACCGTAAATGAATAACACGATACTGCTCTTTTATAAACATTATCATGTTGTAACAATCAGTGTACTGTATATATGCAAATATACATTAATCTGATTACAAGGAACTTCTTTTCAACTAATCTGACAAACCTTAAATAATTTTTTTTCTGTACGTTCTTTGTAAATTTACTATAACTTCTTTAAATACAGGGCTATTAAATATAGCTGTACTTTAGGACACTCATATTTAAATATTGAATTTAATCCAAATTTACCTGCTCACCTCATTTCTTTATTTTTTTATACAAAGGTCTTAACAGAAATTCAATAACAAAGCAAAAAATTAAAATATCAAGCATGCTTTGTAATTTCATGTATTTCAAATATATCTATTAAAATAGAAATACTGTGTTCTCTTTTGATATAAATATATGAACAGAAACATGAATGTAAAGTTTTTATGACAGTGCCTGGTAGCAAAATTGTCATGTGTTGGTGGTCATCATGGGGAAAGAGGTTGTGATACAAATGAGAGGATTGAAGTAGAGGATGGTGGAAGGGAAGTTACTGCATTCACAAAACACGGTAACAGAAGAAACCATAATCCTGGGGGGGGGAGGGGATTCTCCCATTGCCAAACAGCTTTAAATGTAAAGAAAAGTACCACACATAAAATAAAAAGAGATTCATATACTGATAAAGCTTTGTTTTTGCTTGAAATTCATTTTATTCTTAAGGATTTTAAATCAAATCAATTCTTATTGCATATGTAATATTTTATGCATAATCCATAAATTATACTCTGCCTTAAAAATGGATGACAATCTCTTTCCTTAAAAAGGATTGGTATAACATATAAACATTATTATATAAGATTTTACAAGATTTACCTGGCTTTGTATGACACCTGCTGTACATGTGAAATCTCAATTAAGCATATTTTATCATGATTAATTCCAGTGAAGATACCACCATTGTTCTAAGATATCCTATCCAACACCGTATAGCTGACATTTTTAAATTAAGACTTGAGTATAAAAAAATATACTATTTTGATATGTTAAAACAAAACTTGTACGGTAATATTGTGAAAACATCACAATATTAAAAGTTGTCTGACAATTATAATTGTATTAGAATTAAAAGAGAGTTGAATATTACATTACTATTTCTTCCATACATCATCTTGAAAATCTTATGGTCAAAAGCAACCTGTAATTATATTAATTAAAAAAAAGTATTCAGGAAGTACAAAGGAAGCTAGAGTAACTGGTATACAATCACCACTGATTTTCCAGGATGCTCTACATTATTACCAGCTACTGCTTGAAGCACTAGAATTAGGAGGGTATATATTGTTATGGTGCTTTTGGTTTCCAAGCATCATATGTACATACATGGTTTTATCTTTTGTCATCAATCTTCCATGGTTCCTGGATAGCAGCCTTCTCCAGTGGAAGGAAGAAACAGCCACAGCTTTCTGTGGCATACACACCCTTCTGAATCCCAACTAAGGTATACTCTCTGCATTGATAAGACCATAAGGACTAATCTTACATTAACACAAAATCCATCGAAGATAAGAACTGTCACATGTTTTTCTTAATGTTGGTATGATATATACGAAGTCAAGAAGACCAGGGAAAGTAAGGTGCTTCGAAGCCATATGAAATGAATAGAGGTACCTAATGGAAAATGCAGTGTGGATAGATTTGCAACTCACATGTAAAAAATGTGTTAATGTAGGCTGAAAGGTGCATATTTCATGAGCCATTAAAAATAATGAAAATAGCACATAGCTATTTATAAAATGATCTGAACTCATGTTTAATATGCATAATATAAAAAGGGATCTGATTTATGATTTTTTTTCCATTAAACACTATATATTCATTTACAGTTGCATACTAAACAGCAAATTTGAACTAGAATATATAATTCACTAAGTGACAAGCATAGAGACTCCTGCCCTAAATTAAAAATAATTTTGATTTTTTAATGTATCTTTATGATAGTATACTAGATAGTTTGGTAATTATAAATATTTTTATAGAAAATGCAATTGTAATTTTTAAAAGTATTCAACTGTACTTTGTATGTAAAATCTGTTGTAAGTCTTTTTCTTCAATGTGGATTTGTTGAATTTAATATTCAACGGCTTCTTTATACAACAAATGCTAAAAACAAAAATGTCATTTGCAAATTTGCAAGGAACCAATTTAGTATCATTTCTTAATCTTCCATGCTTTCCAAATCTCTTATTTCACTTTTCATTCTGGAAACACTCTGAAAATGTCACTAAGACTTGGTAAAGGCAATCTGTAACTATCAGCTACTTATTTAGCCATTGTTATTGGTAATTATTTTGACTGTGGTAACCACAGTGAGTCAATAGATGGCACCCCTTCTCTTAGTAAGAGAGTAAAATGAATAAAATTTACAAAGTCTCAGAAATAACAAATATGTTCTATTGATCTGAAACATTCATAGCAATTAATTAGAGATATTTTGCTTATGCATGAAAAAAAACCCCACACATTTTATATAACCCTTTTGATAAACATGCATAATAAGTAGGATTATAAGATTATTTACATGGTATATATTTGTATGTTACGCTAAATTTGTTCTCCTTATGCAGATTTCCTATATGCTTCATATTCTGGATTATTGCAAAATATTACAATCTGATTCAACTGTACTTAAAGAGACAATTGTGGAATATATTGTTTTAACATATATTCAAATATGAATCAATATTTCATAATTTTGAGGGATAATGTTAATATGTCCATGGTATATTGATATAAACAGCTCCACATTTTGTATTTTAACTTTCATTTTATGATGTTCTTTGAAAACAATTTAGATAGATAATACATTATTTTAAATGTATTTGCAATTCCTTGTGTGTGTTCAATCACATTTGGCTAATAAAGAATATTATTCTATTGTATCAATATTGAAACCAACAAAAAATATAAAGCCCTTTATCAGAATCACACAAGCAGATTGTATTCTTTCATCTCACAATCCAAAAGATAATATGAGTACTAAATGAAAGCTTACTAATTCATCTAAAATTAGTTGAGGCAACTTTTTTTAAAAAGCTTTATTTAGAAGTAATACTTTTTGCAGCCTTAAGATTAAAATAGCCAAATAATAATCTAAGTAGTTTCTCTATATTAAATTCCTATTTAAACAGAGAAGCTACATCACAATTTCTTGAAAACCTCAGAGATACTATATAGTAATGTCATCTCTGATTCTGTAAAGAAATGCACAATCAAGGAAATTTCAGAAATGTATTATTGTAAAAAGTATATAAGATTAAAAAGAAATAGTTCATACAAAAATATAGAGAAAAATAGGGGAATTCAAAATCACTGTTGTGGTCATATGTATCATCCATCTATCAACTATATTTTATTCTAAGGGGAAAAAAAGCAAATAAGTTATGTTCTTGGGCCAGCTCATCTCTTTATGATCTGCCAACAGCCATTCCAATTCCCCATGAGAAATTTAGATATAGTTAGGTAAATTATGAAGGCAAACAGAACTTTGCATGAAGTTTACCACAAACATATTTAACACTATTAATAGTCAGTTAAAGTGAAAGTTTTGTAGTACAGTTTGACTGTGTTTTATAAACTTCCTCATAAACAGATATTAAAATTTTGTTTTATTTCTAATTTTGGTGTCTCATCAAAGTAACTAATTACAAGAACAGTGAAACTATACAGTTCCAGTAGAGTCCACGATTCACTTACTGATATTGTTGGTGTTTAAAGGAGACATTTTATTCTTGCTATGTACTGCTGAAGAAGCTATAAGCAGCAAACTGACATGGTAATACCATAATACCGTAATTTCTATTATACAAACTGTTTAGAAGAACATGGCAGAAAAAAATAGCATAGGATATTCTTGCATTCTTCGATTCTAACTCTCATCAGATATTTTATTAACTTTCTTCAAAAGATCCTTGTTTCTATTTTATGGTCAGCAGTTCACAGAAGAGTAAATAGGCCCAGTGTAGGACAAAATAAAAAGGTGTTTCTACTTAC